TCGTGTTACTAAATTACTTCTGACATAGTTGAAGATTTGTTCTTGTCAAAAGCTTCAGAAGATAAATGATAAGACTTACACCTTCACCTTTAAACAAGGTATAGTGCTACGTGTAGATAATTATTTATAGATTGATATACTTATTGGTGACATGATATTATATTAAAATTTAAATGATTTCTCTCTCTCTCTCTCTCTCTTCCAAACAATTTTTATCTCTCTTTTTGTACATCAATCTATAAATAATGATGTACAAGTAGCATTATTGCTAGAAAACACAACTTGGTGATTCATATGTCCAGGCAATTGAAAGGCTTGTCCACTATATAGAAAAAAACATCTATAGACTAGAAGACCAGATAAGTGAATAGAGACTAGATTCGCATAGATAATTTTCCAACCTAGAAGGTACGTCTTAAATGGAAAATAAACAAGCACTACAAGTATATATAATCAGAATTTCTATAAGAGTTCCATAGCCATTAATTACTCTTGGAAAAATCACAAAAGAATTATGGTTTTTATTTTTATTTATTTTATTTTTTAGCAGTTTCTCACTTCGTTTGTACACTTAATTTTCTTTCATTTTTGTACATTGTGAGTTCTGAAAACAGTAGTTTGGAAGCATGTATTGTTCATGTTGAACCACGAAGCATTTAGACATATTTCCTCGGTGCTACTCTGTTGGTGTTGAACCAATTGCTTAGAATGGAAAGCAACTCTATAGAATCAATGTTCTCTAATGAATTTTTTCACATGTAATACTTTTTCAGAAGACTTTGGGCACCATCTTCTGCAGTGACTACGGACTTATTTAGATAGCCTCGTTCTCATTATTGATAAGATATTTCCGAAACATAATTTAAAATAAATAAGTTTTTTCATTCTTTAATCGTTTAAACTTTCAAATAAAATAAATCAGTACTATATAAGAGCAAATAGACATCTTCGGTTAAGTCTTGTTGTGAACCACTTATAAGAATTGTGTACATATTAGGTTTTTGATGAAAAGAATTAGTATTTGTATTCAAGTTGAAAGCCTTTGTCATCCATATATCCTATACCCAGAGGTAGATATGACAAGATTAGAAGACTCTTGATTTCAAGTTGGAGAAGAACAAGAAAAAAAAGTTAAGGAAAGCTTGGAAACATTTAATATGTTGGACTATTTTGAAGAGGGAAGGACACGGAAACTTTGAACTCAAATTGAAGAACAAAACAGGAAACATGTACAAGGAAAAGCCCAAAAAAATGGAGGACTGGAACATGTATAAAGTATGTTTTTTGAAATCGATATTTGCCCCATCTTGGTTTGATATTGCTTTGAGGTTCACTTCAGCATATAGATTTATCTAATATTGATGATGCCAAGGTGACTTCTAGCCGTTGACGTCAAGAATTTTGCCATTTCACCACGTGTGATAGATTTCCACTGCACATGCAGTAAACCTATTAACTAGTCCTTTTTTTTTTTCAATCAACAAATGTTTTTTAATTGCAAAGTAATATTTTTTTTCTCAAAATCACAAACTTTCTTTGAGTTATTTAAATCCAAGCCATTTAAACTTTCAACATCACCTTTATTTGAGCAAATTCTCAGCAATTGTTCACTTTTTCAAATAAAAATAATTTTAGAAATGCACGATATTTACGCATAAAGTGACATAGGTATCGATTTGAACATTCCAAGTAATTGTCAAAATCTCCAATAGCTAAAAACTTTAAACCAATTATTCTTGGTGACAATACCCGAGACACCACATGCGCAAACATTCTAGTATAAAAAATGTTCCACACAATTTTTGCTTAGTGCTTTTATGCCTTGCACTTTATCTATTTCATGAACTTTCAAGAAGGAAACTCCAGCTTTCTTTTAAGAGGTGTCAAATATACTCAATAAGATTTGATGTTTTTCGATGTGAGAAATTCTTTCATATAGAATCAAAATAACCGCTAAATATGATAGTAATCAATTACAATATTAACTAATGGTAACCTATAATTTAACTATGGTAAAAACAATCTATCTATATATATAATACAATTATAATGATAATATAGACGTCAAGCCGTAATCTTATTTAATCACGTTAACAACTCTCCTCAAATTGATACTGGTAATAGCATTAATTTGCAATCATGAACTTGCCACGATGACAGTACTTATACTGATGAAGAAGAGATCTAAATCACAGCAACCATCTACAGAAAATAGTGATGACGAGAGACCAATAACAATAAATTGTGCAAAAACAACCAAGAACTACTTCGAAGCCACTCCAAGAACAATCTAAAGACACTCTAGAGAGCTCATGCCCAAGAAGAATTTTCAAAAGAAATTCTCAAATTGTGTCGCTACATGCAATGTACCCTATCTGTCGGAAGAACTCAGTCGAACGCATAATTCATATTCCGACAAAAGCTCTTGCAGTCAATGTGCCAGTCAAATATCTAGCAATATTTCATTAGCCAAGATGCTATAGTTGAAACAATTCCCACAAAACAGCCTATTCTAGAAAACTCAAAGATAACACTCCTCTGAGAATAAAAAATTCTAGCTCATCACTCAAGTAACCAATACCCAACGGTGTGCACTCCCATGTCTCTCTTTGTAACCAAAAATGAAAACCCCTTTTTTTGCACCAAAATAATAATAATAATAATAATCCATTACCATGCTATTGTTCTTCAACCGCTAAAACATTACTAGGTTAACCAACCCGTATACAAAAACCCACAAACATGCCTACAAAGTAAGCCCAATTAAAATTAAGTGCTCAATAAAGCCCAATTATTGGTGAAATTTTCATGTCTAAATTGAATCACCCGTCACCTTATTAACCGCATTTATTGCCTAATCAATCAAATAGCTTCAAATAGCCACCATCTTGACCAAAATTCTCTGCAACCTCTATTTCGTCATTGCTAGCCATAGCACCACAACCACTCAAATGATTAAGCTTTGCCAGCCAGCTGCATCCTAGGAGGCTGAATTGGATAACTGCCCCTTCGATTGGATTGTGGATTCCCCCATTTTCGTCTCCGTCACTATCATCGTCAGAACCCACCAGAATATTTATGGTTTTGACTTTAGATGGTGGTACAATTACCCAGCATACGCCTCAGGATGATGAAGAATTGGAGTTTCAAACCCATTCGGTGTAGGGAGCCAACTCATCCTTTGAGGACCAATATGTGGACGGTGGAGAACCCATAGCCCTTGATGAATTCGCACCTTCATGGGTAGATGAGACTGATAATTGGACAGCAATGAAGAAACCGATGGTTGGCAATGTTCTTAAGTAAGGGAGGAGCGAGAGGTGGGTTCTTCTCGAATTCACAGTCCCGAGCTGATGAATCTAATTACTGGGCTTGAAATAAGGCTTCTGTGCCCTCTTAAGTCTCGAAAATATGGAAAAAAAGGTATAAAGACAAAATTTGGATGAAAAGATTAAAATAAAGAAGATAAGGGCTTGAAATTCACTACGATTGTCGAATTAAAACTAGAGGAAATTACACCATAACAGGTATTTAATTATTACAATGCATAAATCAGGTATCAATTTTATTTGTTCAAATATCATGTATTAATTTAATTCACTACCCAAAACCTAAATTAATCCACCCTCCAACATTCACTACCCGAACCCTAATTATTTTCTTCCCCTACTTTTCCTCTTCTTCCCATCCTCTCTCTTTATCTTGGAATCTCCCTGTCATACATGGCTGTCGTCGCTAGAGACCACATTGGAGCTCGTCGCTGGGAGCAGCTAGCGGTGCTCACTGCAATTGCGTGGTTATGGTGGTGTTGTATCGGGGGAAGATCTATGTATAATGGTGTGGTGTAGGTGACGGTCGTGTGATGGTGGTCATTTTGTTGTTATTGCCAGTGATAGTGTCGAGGGGCAGATCTATGTGTGGTGGTGTGGTGTAGGCGACGGTTGCGCAGTGGTAGTTGGTTTTTTTTTTTTTTAGTTGGCGGTAGTTGTGGTGGTGTAGTGGCAAGGGTGGATCTGTGGGTTGTGGTTATCTGATGTGCAGGCGATGATTGTGTGGTGGTGTGGTGTAGTGTCGGATGTCTGATGGTGGTCATTTTTCTTGTTATTGTTGGTGATGGTTGTGATGGGAACAAATCTGTGGGCAGTGGTGTGCTGCAGACAACAATTGTGTAGTGATGATTCTTTTTGTTATTGTTGTTGACGGTGGTTGTGGTGTTGTGGCGTGGGGTGGCATGGCTTGGCTTGGCGTAGCGTGGCGGAATGGGATGGGATGGGATATACTGTGACCTTAAAATTTATGATTAACTATTAAACTGTACATTAAAATTTGATAATTTGTAACTAAAAAAATAATTTATGACCAACAAATTTGAAAATATATGATTGATAGATAAGCTGTGACCTATAAAATTTTTGATTTGTGATCTTGAAATAATCTGTGATCAATTAATTTGATAATATGTGACCTATAATTATGTACCTCTAACCATTAATTGTACAATTGTAACTTATTATATTTAATTAATAAATAAATACTTGATTTTTGCATTTTTAAACTTGAGACTTGAAAATTGAATTAGTAATACTTAATACCTGATTTATGATTCCTCCCCCCCTTCCCCTTTAAACTATCTAAAGACTGGATTGTGAGAAAAAAACCCAAACAAGAAAAGGAGAAATTTTTATAAGGAATTGGCTCTGATGCCATTTCAAATATACTCAATAAAATTCGATGTCCTCGATGTGAAAGGTTCTCTTATTATATAGAATTAAAATCACCACTAAATGGGTATTTGACTTCTGATTCATTTCTAGATTTTGCATTATATTTAATAAATATTTTCTTTCTTCTATGTGATCCAATCGGTTTAAATTATAAGATATATAGAAATGAGCTGTGGAAAAATGGATAATACTTGTAGATCTCAAGTATTATGTCTTTCTGTTTTAATTTTGTAAACATTAAACCCATTATTGTAATGCCTTTCCAAAACTGTAATCTAAGAAATTTATTTAGGATTCTTAACACATGTTCGAATCACTTTCCAAAATGTAATCTAAGAACCTTAACATTTGAATAAAGAAAAATCTGGGCAGAGACTAATCCTAAAGGTCCCAATGCCCATATTTGTGTGCCTCAGTTTTTCCTCCCATTCTTTATTCCCTCCATCTGGGAACAAATTTTGAATTACTGTATCTGACTGCTACAGAAAAGTTACAAAAATATACTTTATTACTGTTTTTCAATAAAACCAACTTTGATTTAGTCCTAATTGCAAGAACATAAAACATGCATGCTAGTTCCATCAAACAGTGTAATGTAGAAAGGGATTGGTTTCTGATGGTACAGTGCTCTCACCATCACTAGATGTCCATGTGGAGTTGAGGTCTGATAGCGATACTGATCCCACTTCAGTGCTGATTACTTGCGTATTACTTTGGACAGTCGCTTGCCCCTTAGATAGCCTAATATTCTCCAATTCCATGCTGACTTCTTTCATTGTTGGCCTTTTCTTCCCATTCAAATTCAAGCATCTATATGCTAAAGTAGCAACAGCAATAATGTCTTCATCTTTTTCATGCTCTAAAATTATAGGGTCAAAAAATTTATGAAGGCAGTTTTGTTCCATAGACATAAGAAAACGCGCAGCTAAACTTCTTTCATCTTCTGTATCACTTGAAATTATTGGTTTCTGTCCTGATAAGAGCTCAATAAGAACAACACCAAAGCTATAGACATCACTCTTATCGGTAAATTGGCTTGATCGGAAGTATTCTGGATCTAGATAGCCAAAGGTCCCCTTAACTAAGGTGGTGAAGTGAGTTTTATCTACTGCGATAGACCTTGAAATTCCAAAATCTGACACTTTGGGTCTATAGTTTTCATCTAGAAGGATATTGCTCGACTTGATGTCCCTGTGATAAATGGGTGTGGAAGTTGAATAATGTAGATAAGCGAGAGCTCCTGCTACCTCTGCTGCAATTTTTAGGCGCATATCCCATGTCATAGGAAACTCAGCACTCGGGTCATGGATGTGATCGAAGAGGGTTCTATTAGCAATAAACTCGTAAACCAACAAAGGAACTTCTGTCTCCAAACAACATCCAAGTAGCGCAACAACATTTCTGTGGTTAATTTGAGAAAGGATTACGACCTCATTTATAAACTCATCCAGTCGATTTTCACCTACTAACTTGGACTTCTTTACTGCAACAGTTCTCCCATCAGATAACATGCCCTTATAAACTGTACCTTGACCTCCTTGTCCAAGTATTCTACTTTCATTGAACTGATCGGTTGCCTTCGACAACTCCTTGTCTGTGAAAAGTCTTGTTTTTTCTACGTGGCCTTCTTTAGTAGATATTTGTTGCTGTAATAAAAGACCACCATTTCGTTTGAAATATTTTTGTTTACGATTGCATTTCCTCCTCTTCTTCACTACTTTGTATAGCCAATAGGTAACTGTTAGCAGTAATAACAATCCGATGCTCGTGCTTAAACCTGCACAGAGAGATGTCATATTAGACAAATTCATGCACAGGCAGCCGTTTGAGAACTCTAAGAGTTCTAAGATTTCATTATGTGTATGAGAAACTAACTGGATAAATTGTCAACCAAAAAAAATCACTGCTGTGAGTATCCCTTTATTTTTCTGTATTCACTATATTAAACTTCATTTTCCCTCATTTTCTTGACTTCAAGTCAAATTACGCTTTTGTTTTGTTTATTTCTTAAGCCTTCAGGCATCGTTCAACTGTGTAGAACATTTGTTTGATTTCGTATGGACATAGGTCACCGTACTTCTTGGTTCCTTCGTCCAATGAATTGATCAGTTTTTTTTTTTAATATTAAGAAAATAAAGGAAAAGTATCCTATATGATTCCGAGTTTACTTCGTCTTATCTATTAACTCCTGATTAGATAAATAATGGTTGGAACTTTACATAAAAACCCCGTTCATCAAATCTGTCTCAAATGCAAATTCCAAAAAAAGAAGGACCAAAAAATCTTTTTTCAAAATATTTCTGTACTCATCTTAAGTTTAATGATTTAAAGGTTTTAGTAAAGTTGCAACGATTTCCCTTCATCCCTGGTTCTCAACAATGCTTCAAATGAAAAGTTTTTACTTTTGATAGAATGTAATGAACATGATCCGAAGTAACGTGAGTAAATTTACAGGGGTAACAGTATGTTTATAACCTGTGAGCACTGATGCTTTATTTGAACGCTGGCCAATGCAACCAGAACCAAATTTGCTGCCATCACCAAAATAACCATGCTGGCAAGAGCACTTATAACCACCTGGAGTATTAGTGCAGATTCCATATGGATGACATGGATTGTTCTCACATTCATTGATGTCTGAAAACGTAGTAGAGCGAAAAGAGTCATGGCTGAGCCAAAGGAAATTAAAATTGTTCTTATTGCTCTTCGATAATTCATTTTTTGTTTATCTATAGACAGCTTCTTTGGTAAGCTAGATTTAACACTAATTGACAATACGAACCAAAAAAAGAAGTAAAATTTTTTGTCCATCGTGGAGTAATGTCCAATAATATGTACTAAATATGCTCAGTGTGTTCAAACAGACATTAACTAACCTTGGCAACCTGGTCTGAGATATGGATTTCCCTTGTATCCCTTGGAGCAGTTGCAGTGATATCCTCCAAGACCAGTATCAGAATCAACACAGATGCTATTTTCCTGACAAGCAAATAGACTGGATTTCTGAGCTTCAGCACATGTTTGATTCCCAATCACCCAGTCAAATATCATCGGAACAGTTTCTACAATTCTGTGTTCAAAATTGGAATCAGAGACATCAGATGGGTGAAACGTATATCTGCCCTGTTCTCCAAGAAAGGAATAGCCACAGTGGTTGAAGGACGAGACGTTCGTGTGATTTCCATAGCTGTTCAGGAAAGTAGTGTAATTCTTTACGCCCTTGGGAATGGAGTTTTGGCAACAGCCAATTCCAGAACAAGATCCATCACTCAAGTCACTGCTCTTTGAACATATGGCAGCACATGAACTGATTAAGTCATATGAACTGATTAAGTTATCAGTTGCCACTTTTGCCATATAGGAAACATCATCACATCCCACAACTATGAACTTATTTTCGTTTGAAAAACTGAAAGGCGAGGTTTCACTTATACCATATACGGTTTGAAATTCACGAGTTATACCACCAGTCTGATTGTAGCATCTGTAAGCTATCGCATTGGTTTTGAGACGGATTTTGGTTTCTGATATGTCGATAATCTCTCCATTAGTTCTGCTGAGGAAGGGTTTTGGAGGGTTAAAAGATTTAGAACAGTTGATGTCATACCATGGGCCTATGGAACATCCAGCATCTAAACCAATACCAAATGGGTATGGAACGGATACATTCCCACACTTGGTGGGGCAGCCGGGTAGCGCGATTGTGCTGTTGTTGATGGTCTGTTTTGATATGGAAAAGCTAAATGGAAGCCATAAGATTAGAAGAATGCAAGCTTTTTGCTGCATATTGCAGGCTGATACAATAATATCTTCACAATTATTAAGAATGCTTGATCAACAGATGAAGAAGATACGCCAAAATCTCTCTGGTTAAATAGTACATAAGTTTCATCCACCAGATAAGTCAGATTATATCATGAACAAGGAGTTGCGCGTTGAAACTTAGAAACATAATTTCCATTTGTTAAGGTCATAACTGTTGATTATTAAAGCCACAATTGTTGACTCCAATAATTATTGTTGAAACTTCATGAAGAAGTTTTCAAGTTGCAAGTGACCAACTTAAATTTAAATTCCTTTCCACCAATCACAACTTGAAAATGACAAAATTGAAGTGAAACTCTCCTAACCACCATATTTGACTATTGTAAAGCCAAAGTCGACCCACGTTATTTCTAACAATCACAACGTTAAATTTTTTAACAGGGAATAATTGAGTTGAATAAGTCATATTTCTTAGGACGGCATGTATAATATGCATTCCGATACTATTGATTAATTAAGATAAATGAATTTAATATGCATTCCGATACTATTGATTAATTAAGATAAATAAATGATCCTAAGTTCTTGAATTCAACATAGCTGCCTAAAATTAATTTACATCCGACAATAAATAATTCTATCTTCTGGGAATTGAATTTCAATTGCCCTATAAGCCAACCAAACGGATCCTGGTTATAGCTTTTTTTAAGGTAGCAGAAATTAACTTTTTTAAGAATTTTTTTTTTTTTCGAAACAGATTTCTTCTTATTTAAGGGTCCACGAAATGTTTATTTATCAATGTTAAAAATAGTCTATATATCTAAGTGGAGTTCATCTAACCCAATTAAAGGTCAACGACCAATTCAACATTCATATCCGTTGTTCTTATGTACCATCTTAGTGTTATCTATCATATATATACAAGTATTTAATATTTAGGCGTGTTTGATATACGTAAATGGGAATTATTAATAAATAATTTAATATTTTTTAGCACTTTAGTCTACTACACTGTGGTTGAAAACGCGGTAACTCATCCAACTTATTATTTTTCTGAAGTTGAAAATTGAAGTTTTGTTTTTTGTTTTAGCTTGGCTGTCAACTCGTTTTGGTCGCAATTGGCTCGATCGACGAGGTACAAAATGTATCTTTCAATTTGAAAACAATCTTAGAAAATATGTACTCGTGTATTGAGCGACTTCATAAAGTGAGTTTTGGACCTAAAAGTAATATTAAGACTTTTGACCTTAAGATTTAAATTTAGATTGCCCGATTAATACTCAATTGATGCAAAATCGTTAAATTTACATTTTAATAGCGATAATATTATATGATCATGTTTAAGTTCTCCAATTATAATTACCGCGTATCTAAATTTTTAAGGGACTTGACCAAACTAAGTGTTTATTTGGTAGGAATTTTGTCAATTGATTTTTTGATCATTAGAAATAAAGTGAGTCCTAACTGTAAGAGAAGTATTCAAAAATGACGGCTGGAATAATGAAATAACGGTCAAAAAATTGATTTTAATTGGATTTTAAGTTGTTCCAAACATGCTCTAACTTAATTTTGGGTATGGTATGCTTGTTTAACTTTTAATTGATTTTATTGTTGAAATAAATTTACATATATAATTTAAATGATTTAAGTATGGTCGACTTCCCATTCTTTGGTCAAAGAATTGCACGCAGATGATATATAAGGTGGGACATTCCCATGACAATAACATCACTTTGCTTTACTTGGAAAATAATTGCACTTTGACCAGTTACTTCTGTTCTTACTTTTGTAAAGAATTAGTAATTTTTATATTTGTATTTTACCAATTTTCATGATTATAATAGGCAATTTTTAGGAAGCTAATTTAAAAATAAATAAAAATTCTAGTGTAGTCTTGGTCAATGTTTCCTGTTCATAGTGGGCCGTGAAAGGCTGTATCTAGTTGGTGAACCATCATCCAACTTATTAGTATGATACGGTGTTAAGATTTGGGATTTCATCTTAATAGGTCAACCTTGTTAAGAAGAGTAGCCCAAAACTTCTCTTTTTCTTCTTAAATTGCATTTCTTTATGTTATAAGTTTCAACAAGATTTTGAAGACCTGGCAATAAAAAACATCATTGTTACAGCGCAAAATGGCATGTCATCATTTCGAGATTTACCATTAGTTTTACCACTTTTTTCTACTAGAACCATGCATTATCTGGGAAATGTAAAAGGGCAGATTTAGCTTGAGTATACGATGCACCATTGGCTTCCCTACGAATGGAGACGCTCCATTGTGGCTTAGAATAGTGCCTTCTGGAGCGTCGAGGATAGAGGATTTTTTTACTGCTTCTACGGCGGAGCTGCAATCAGAAAATGGCCATGTACACAGATTTCTTCAGGAAAATGAATTGAATATTTTGGACATTAAATGGAGAGTAGTACCTGATTAGAGCAAAATCTGGAAGGTTGAATTCTGAAGTTATTGGAAGCCAATTTTCACTTTGTGCCTCCAAACATCATTTGAAGAATATTTTAATATACATTTGGACAATTTTGGTAACAGCCTGAATAAGACACTTTTATCCAGAAGCTCAAATAATGGCAAGTCCGGTCGGTGTCAACTCTTCAATTTATCCCTATTTTTGATGGAGAAGATTAAAGGAAAATGGTATATGGTAGAGATTTTCAAAATTCAAAAATGAAGGATTTGACAAATGAAACAATTTCACACAAGTGTTATGGAAATTGTTAATCGACTGTGGAAATTTAAAATTGCTCTTTATTATGCTCAACTAGATACAAGATGCTTATTAAAAATAAATAAAGTTCTTGGAAATGCTCTTATATGGTTATTTTGAATAGTTAGATAATTTGTTGTTGTTTTTCCATTCACTTATTAAGGAACAACTATTTGGTAACTAGTTAATTTTTTTCCTGCAAATTACATAAAGGTGGAAATTTTAGTAAAGTGAGAAAATAAATTATCTAGATATTGTGGGTAGAGAGGTTAAGATTTAGGGTGGATATATGACACCATAATTGTTATGGGATTTAAAGTGAAATTTCAATTATGCTTAGTAATTAGTTTCTTTCCAAACAGTGTCTTGGACCTGTGGGTCATTTGAATTGGTATTGATATGATTATATAAAAGTTTTTAGATTTTTTATCCGACAAATTATTCAAATTGGTATTTGCAAGAATTAATGATCTGTCGATCTAGTTGTATTCTATTGTGAATCAATGAATACTGAATTTTTTAAATCGTGGATATTCTAAGAAATATCCAAGAATCAAGTCGTAATTAGGATCTTACTGTAATCACATTAATTTCTAACATCAAGTTCAAAATAAACGACTAGTACAACTTTTATGAGAAATTTTTTTGATCAAATAGATTTTGAATGTACATTCTACCAATAAAATAATTTTGCAAGTGGATCCTTAATTTTTTCTTACTTTCTAACCATGCATTTTGAAGAGAAAAAATCATTTTTAATTTCAAATAATCTTTTCCAAACAAATAGTAAAGGTTGTTTTGAATGGAGTGATTTTCTCCAATACTATATTCGATTCATTAGATGTAATAGATCCTTAACCATCCATTACTAATCACTTTAAACTTAAGGGAAACATGAAAATAATTTGTTTATTTTGTATTAATTTAATAACATTAGAGTCAATGGGCTCAAGGCAACCATTTTAGACTGGTGCAGGTACCAATTCGTGTCACACGTCATATAAACATACAAATAAGGCCAAAGAAAAGATGCTATTTTTGGGGTAATAAATGATACTATACACACCAAATTTTCGAACATTATGTATTAATATACAAGTGTTGGCACTTTCAAGAAGTTAACAATTTTCTCTTGTTTCTTACATTCTATGCAGAAAAAGATGGCCAGTATATTGCAAGTCAATTGCTTCATGGGAAGGCCTCCATTTTCCCACAAATTTGATCATCATTTCAGAGATTCACTCCCTTCTTCTTCGAGTTTTAAGGTAAACAACTCTTGTCTGTTTCCTTTGTCATTTGGACAGGCTCGATTAGTAAGTTGAACTGGATCGTATTAAAGGGAAAAAAAGAAAAGAAGATATGATAATGTCCAATCCAGTTTAATATAGTGTATTGAACGTGCCCACAATATATATGTGATTTTTTTATCAGGCTATAACGAAAAACTGTATATTTGTACTTTGTCTATATAACAGCCACTCTTCAGAAAGTTACAGCAGAATCCAATTTGGGCTAATGTTCCCAAGATCATTAAGGAGGCTTCAGTAAGATTATTAGATACATTTGTTGATTTGACATTTGAATTCGTTGACCAGCCATTGCTTCCATCCCAGGTAATGCGAAACAACCCCCCACCCCCAAGTACGCTTACTTGTTTATATCATATTTGGTAGAGTGGATTTTACCGTATTAGAAAATATTAGAGAATAGAAGAGATAAACTATTGTCCATTGTCCAGTTCAGTATGGCATGCTAAACCTGTCATTAAAGTTTGGTGTAAACAGGGTAATTTTGCTCCAGTAGAAGAGCGGGGAGAAGCTATTCATGTGACCAGCATAGAAGGAAGGATCCCAGATGATTTTCAAGAGGGCGTTTACATTAGAAATGGTATGCCAATTGCTTCGATCTCTACTAGAAAACCAGATAATCTATGAACTGTTAAAATGTCCTTGCTTTGAATTGGATTGTGTACCTTTTTCCTTGGAGCTATTCCTTGTTTATTACCGTCTGTTAATTACAATGTATGGATAAGCACAAAGCCAGATTAGTCCTTGAAAATTCTAGTTTATTAGCCATTTGGATGGTTGAGCTACTGGGTCTGTAAAGTGTGTCATGTCAATTCTTTATACAGTGCATATTTAGAAAAGAGTAATGCTATATAGTCCTACTAGGGTTGTAACCTCAATCTAGATGACATTAAATGATATGTTAAATGAAAGGTGAAACTAAATGAGTTACTTTAATTCTACCTATCAATTAATGCCACATTAGAGTCACCTAGACTAGGGTTGTAATCCCAGTAGACTAAATGGCATTACTCTTTAGGAAAACTCCAAAAATGGAATATTTTTATTTTTTTTTTTTTTTATTTTCTATAACATAAAAGTATTGAATGATTCTCTGCGCATACCTCCAAAATGAACATGGTTTTGTTATTTTAATCTCTAAGGTTCTTGACAAAATGATTCCAATTCAAAATCATATTATGTTATAACATTGTTCTTGTAATTTCAGTCTGTCCTTTTCCCGGATGATTCTGTCTTATTATGCCTCTGAGACCAATCGAAAAATTACAAGAAAAAATGAAAAAGAAAGACGATGGTTGATAGTTGATATGTTGGCAAATCATGGAATCAGTGGAGAGGACAAATAGCTAAATGAAATAGAGCATTTTTTTTTTTCCATGCTCAAAAGTTACTTTTCTGATAGGTAAGTCGAAAATAACTACAAAAATCATGTGATAAAAATATGTAACTTAAGAAGTTAAACTTGCGATTAAGCAAACATGCTCTACACCAAGTTGGTTGGTTAAATACTCTTGAACTACGTGCCTTTTCAAATAGTGAAAAAATTTAGACTTCATTCTTAAAACTAACAGCTTTAGACCATTTTTTTTGGCTAAGTTTCTCTAATGCAGAATTGCTAGATAACTGTTGTTTTCACCTTTCATGATATTATTGTCCATTTAGGCCCAAATCCTTTGTTCGGGGCATTAAAATCGACAAAATCCGTGTTTGGAAAATCAAGCCACACATGGATAGAAGGCGAAGGAATGCTTCATGCTTTGTATTTTTGTAAAGAATGTGATGGCAGCTGGATCACTGCCTACAACAACAGATATGTCCATACCGATACTTTCAAATTAGAAAAGGAAAGAAACAAACCAGCATTTCTTCCAGCTATTGAAGGAGATCCTCGAGCCGTACTGTCAGCTTTTCTACTAAATTGGGTATGCCAATATAATAAAAATGAATATATCTAGCTACGCTACTCTGTTACTGAAAGATATCTACATACTCAACGCTACTCTAGCTGAATTTTTTATCTTGACAGTTAAGATTTGGCTTGGTGGATAAATATCTTAGCAACACGAATGTTTTTGAGCATTCAGGGAAGTTCTACTCGATTTCTGAGAATCACATTCCTCAAGAGATTGACATTCGTACGCTAGAAACTCTTGAAAATTGGGATATCGATAAAGCTTGGCGTCGGCCATTCACTAGCCATCCCAAGGTAGTTCTTTAAACCTGTAAAAAGCTCGAAAAATCCACAATTTTACCTATTCAATGTTTTTTCCAACATCAATTTTAACATTTTAAGTGAAACAGAAAGCTCCAGATACTGGAGAGCTTGTGATTATGGGGATCTCTCCAAGCAAGCCTTACTTTGAAATCGGAGTTATCTCGGGTATAGAAAAGTGGCGTAAAGCTCCTTTATGTATAGTAAATATGGCTAATTTAAGATATTTCACTTTTATTTCAGCCGATGGAAAGAAATTAGTTCATAAAGCCGATCTCAAATTAAATAGGTGTTGCCTTTGCCATGAAATAGGAGTTACAGAAAGGTAGTCTGTTTATTCGAAGGCTTTCACTGTGTTCAATATCAGAATAGATTTCAATTTTTTAAGTTAATAAATCCTCTTTTCAGGTATAATGTGATCATGGATTTTCCTGTAACCATAGACATAGATCGACTCATAAGTGGAGGCCCGTAAGTATTCTTCGTGTTAATGTCAAGAAATTATCTTTCATATATAGCTCATTATGGTCAATTTGAGGATATATAGGTTAATCAAGCACGAAAAAGAAGGACGTGCAAGGATTGGAATAATGCCCCGTTATGGTGATGCAGATTCCGTCCAGTGGTTTGAAGTTGAATCAAGCTGTACATTTCACATTATTAATTGTTACGAGAAGGATGATGAGGTAATAAATCATATATTTTGATATCTTGCCAATGGAATCCATAGAAAAGTAATCATTGTGTGGTGACTGGTATACAATTTTCTATATGTTTGGATGGGACGAGCAGGTCGTAGTGTTGGCATGTCGAGCTCGTGATTCAATCATACCAGGACCTGATTTTGGCTTGAACAAATTTGATTGGTTCTCCAAAGGGTTTAAGGATATAAGTCCTGTTGAAGAAACTGATGAAAAACCACAAGGATCATTTTTCTCTAGTGCATATGAATGGAGATTGAACATGGATTCCGGAGATGTGAAGGAAAGGAATCTCACTGGAACCGAGTATTCTATGGATTTTCCGATGATGAATGAAAAGTTTGTTGGTCTTGAAACTAAGTTCGGGTACACACAGGTGGTTGATTCAAATGCAAGCTCCATATCAGGTAAAATTACAAAGTCCTCTTTAAAGTTGTTGTGCTTTCGATCATTGGTCGTAACTAGCAATGGATCATAAAAGTTTCCCACAGGCATGGCAAAATACGGAGGGCTAGCCAAACTTTACTTCAAGGAAAGGAAACTCGACCTTCTCCCGGTAAACTTCCATTATACGTTCCCCTAGTGCATGTTGGACTTTGTGGAGCCTAAATATGTTACTTATCCCGAAATTGCAGATTGACCTAGTTTCCTATGCTGTATAAAGGAATTAAAGTGGAGCTCTGTGTTGAACCAATTGATATAAAAGTTTAAACTTTTAAATAGGGCACATGTGTATCATTTAAATATTATCTTCAACACACCACCTCATGTATAGGCAGAACTCATTTTCTTCCATCAAAGCCCATTACATGGACAATTTTATTTGAATGAGTGACGGCAAGACTTCAGCGTAGCACTTTTTGCCTACTCTAATATCATATTGAGTCACTTGGTCTAAAAACTGAAAATGTTAGACAGGGTCACATATATATCATCTAAATACTATCTTCAACAATCTCTATGTTTTTGTGTTTTGTTTCATTCATTATAGCTCTCGGAATTGGGATTAGTGTTTAATCCCTAACAGTGCACCTGTTTCTCTGGTCTCCTAAGAAATCATTATTTGTGAACCAGGATACGAGACAACCCAAAGAAGAGTTGATAAAGGTCGAGTATCATAAATTTCCACCCAATACATTTTGCACTGGAGCTGCATTTGTGGGGAAACCTGGGAGTCCTGAAGAAGATGGTGGATGGATCATTACATATGTACATAATGAAGAATGTAACATATCTCAAGTAAGTTGTCTTAAAATAGCTTTAATGTTTAAAGTTTTCTCTTTGATTAATTGATGATAAACTGAGTTGTACACTTCTTGGCTATAGGTTTATATAGTTGATGCGCAGAAATTTTCAGACAAGCCAGTGGCCAAGATTACACTACCAAGTAGAGTCCCCTACGGATTCCATGGAGCTTTCATGCCAATACATCGACAGTGATAAATTTGGCATTCCAAATGCTACATTGTCGAAAATATATTGGCTAAGCTTAAAAGTAACTCTTTTGTAAAGTATGGAGAACTGATATGGGTTGCATCATGTAACAAGCTCTGACGCGCAATAAAGTTTATCGAGGAAACATAACTAGAGGTCGACAGTACTCCCTTGTAATGAAGTTATTTGTAGTAAGTGGAGATTTATTTTGATATCCCTTTTATTTTTTGATTTGGAAGAGTGACCAACAATGAGGAAGCAAGAAAATAAAGGCCTGTAAATGTATAAACAGTTATTAAATAAGAACATTTCTTTTCAAAGTAACGACACTTATGACACCTTCATGGTGAACGGGCCGGGCCTGTTTGAGAAAGGCCTGTAAAGGCTCGTGAGCTGGTCCGGGTTTTGTGGTGGGCTGGACCAATCCCGATATGCAAGCGTAGGAAAGGGCTTGAGCTAATAATCTGATAGGTAAATGAATAAATGGCTCCTTACCGAACACAAATAAAAGTTAGCTTACATTGAATGAGGGGCCTCTGAAGGACCACCCAGCTCATTCGAACAAGAACTCCAACTTGGCTCACTTCGCCTACGTAACAAAGAGAAGTAGTTTAATGGGTAGGGCCAACCATCCAATTTTATTTTATTTTATTTTATTTTTGAATGTATGATAAAGACATAAATATGGGGAAAAAAAATTATGAATTCTCATTTGTCTTTATGAGTTAAATTGTTTACAATTTACGCTATAAATTCATTTAAAGTAAAAATTTACAGGCAAATGCATCATGATAGTTATCACTTAATAAACTGTAGTTCAATGATTTCATCGCTCACTGTCAATTATGTCTAAGATTTTGGAAATTTTAGTGATTGATGTTACTTGCCTAGTGTTGACTTTTTCTGAGCTGAGCTAAGCCGAGCCAAGTCAGCCCGGACCCAGTTTGATGCCACTAGCTCTACCACTTCCTACAACATATATAGAAAAATAACATATTCCTTCCAAATTAACACAATCATGTTGTTCTGGGAACTCTGGGTGGACTCGGCCTCATTTCCATACATCCAACATTGTATACAAGCATTGAAAAAAAAAATAATAATAATAATAATAAAAACTAAGCCCTTTAGAAACCAGACTTCGAAGGGCTAATATTTTACATGTTTGAATTTCTCAATTGAAAGTAACTATTTGGCTCCATGTCTTTGGCATGTTCAGAATCAGCACCCACTAGAAGATGCTCGTTCGGATAAATTATGTCGTTCAATTGGGACAGACAGAAAGATCCAAAGGAAAAAACAGAGAATCAAATATTAAGAACCATAATTTATTTAATAGTTTAAGATGCTAAAATGCATCCTTAAGAACAGTGTTTTCTATTGAATTCCAGGAAGAAGAATGCTACACAGCAACTACGAAATTTTGAAGAAAAATAAGTGAGCCCTGCTCAATTTCTCAAATGGAAAAATTTGAGGTTATTTTTATTCTCTTCTTGTTTATATGTGCTGAAGCTCAAGATTCATCCAATCAGCGTGATGTGAATCCACTTCATCCAAGCATGGCGGTAGTTCTTGTTGTTCTGTTAATTATGTTCTGCTTAACGTTTCTCATAGTGGCTTACGCGAAGTTCTGTCACAGACCGGTTTCTTATTATCAGTCGAATGATGGACAAGATCCCAGTGCTCTTCTTGCATCAAGATCTCGGTTTTCTGGTATTGGTCGATCTGTAATTGAATCGCTTCCGTTTTTCAGGTTTTCGTCCCTCAAGGGCTCGAAAGAAGGCCTTGAATGTGCAGTATGCTTATCAAGATTTGAGGAGACTGAAGTTCTTCGATTGTTGCCAAAGTGCAAGCATGCATTCCACATGAACTGCATTGATAAGTGGCTCGAAAATCACTCGAGCTGCCCCATTTGCAGGCACAAGTTTGATGTGGGAGATTTAAGTAGTTTGACGTATACAAACAGTTTTAGGTGCCCCCGGAACTCGTGCAATCTAGCGGAAGAACCAAATATCGAGCTTTTCGTTCAAAGAGAGCAGGATAGAAATAGGTCATCCAGATTCAAAAACACGTTCCAAAACATTGTCAGGGGGGAGGAAGACGAGGTTTTGATTCAAAAAGGTAGCAAGGATAATGGGGACCAGAAGACCTTACACAAATTCAAGCACAAGATCATTGTTTCTGATTTCATTTGTAAAAGCAGGTGGAGTGATGTCAACACTTCAGACCTTATGTTTCTGAATTCTGAGATGCTCAATTTTATGTCGAGCAAACGACTTGAGCCAATCAAGTCGAACAGTGGAAGATTCAGCAATGAACTTTCAGCCCAGAAACGAGTTTTGAAGATAAAGGAGGAGGATATGGAAAGAAAAAGATTGTACCATTCTAAGGTAAGTACAACTGCCACTTCAAGCTCTCCTTGTATTAACAAAATAGATATAGTCGAAAAGACGGCGACAAGATCATTGAATCCAGGTGAGAAGAGATCAATGTCTGAGATTACAAATATTTCAAGATTTACAGAACTCAGTACAAGCAACAGGATCAATGGATTATCATCTCCAGTAAATATTGTAAAGGATGAAAAAGTTTTGAGGCTTTGGTTTCCCATTGCAAGGAGAACAATTCAATGGTTTGCTGGTAGAGAAACCAGTTCAGTGATTTCAAAACATGAATCAAATGTATAAATTCTACATACATTTGGTACACAGTATTAGATTGTATTTGATCATATACAAAACTTTTTCTTATTTTCTTTTTTCTTCATTCAGTATTGTCTATTTTACCATACCAAAATGTGTCTACATATCTAGCTAATTATAATTGCTATTAATTATACTTTCGTGGGTTTATGAATTCAATAATATGGTAATCTCGGAGTATTTCCGTACGTGGAGAATTGGGGTTTCATCCCAAAACAAATTAACCTATTGAAAGTATTCAAATGTCCTTATAATGTTCGCATTTTTCCAACTATTCTCCCCTTGAATGAAGTACCATATCATCTCAATCTCCCTTCAAGTGCTAATATAGTCGCCTCCTTCCTCAAACAAGGAAGGATTATATGCTCCATCAAGACTAAACTCTTCTACTCTTCCATCTTTCAGAGCCAAGAACAATTTTTTTTAGCTTTTGTGATTGACTAGGATCCAAACCTTCGCTAGACTACAAATAGGGATTCATCTTGGGCATGTACTTTGCTAAGTTTGGAGCCTAACAATTTGTGGGGAATTTGAATTTTCATCCCAAAAGATTAAAATGTTAGGGGTGTAACTCAATCCTTTTATAAACTCAACATTTACTCCATGTATATAGCGAAAGGAAGTGTTACTTCTCTTAAAATTCTATCGTCGAATTTAAGTGTCAATAAATAATTTGTATCTCTAGAGCTTTATCAGATAGAATGGATACAAAAGGAGGGGATATAACAATCAGAGTATGTAAATGACAGAAATGAGAAAAGGACAAAAATTAAGGGAGCTCAATTGAGTAGAGACATATAGTTGATCGGTGCGAAATGTACTTTCTACTAACAAATGGTGTGCAAAGTCCACTATGAAATGCTGCCAAAATCTAGTGAAATTATTATCTCATGATTTAAAACCTTGTTTGAAAGCTAACTAACAAATAGTTAGTCCAATCTATCATATTGGACTTAATTAACGAAGAGAGATTAGAGATATGTACTAATTTGTCAATTATTTTATTCAGTATTGTCTACTAATTATAATATCAAAGTTGATTTCTCCACGATGTTAAATTAATTATATGAAATTTGTCAATTATTTTATTTAGTATTGTATACTAATTATAATATCAAGGTTGATTTCTCCGCGATGTTAAATTAATTATATGAAATTTGTCAATTATTTTATTCAGTATTGTATACTAATTATAATATCAAGGTTGATTTCTCCGGAATGTTAAATTAATTATATGAAATTTGTCAATCATGATATTCAACCATGTTTGGCAATTTAACGAGTGTTAAGAATGCCATATGCTAGGTTGATAGCATAATATTTGTCAAATATTGCGTCAAGTCTTGTAAACCAAACATATATGATGGTTAATTTTGTCATCATGTTAGATTAACGGAATGAAATTTGCGTAAAAAAAAAAAATGGTTTTGTATATCGTAAGGTTTACTTTTGGTGAGAAGTTATATATAATAATTGAAAATTTGTCAATTATAATTGAGAGATAATTTTTCGAGATATTAGATTAATGAATAGAGATGCGTGCAATTTTTCAATTATCCAATTCTTGTTTACCAAATATACTATGGTGATTAATTTTTCCAATATGCTATATATATTGGTATAAAATTTATTAATTATCTTGTTCATCTACAATATATTAAAAGTGGGGATGGTAGAGAAACTTTCAAATACCAAATTTACCCCTACATGTTTAACTATATGCCCACTATATCCTCATAATTGGAATATCAATTTAATTAGTATTTATCATTTGGTTTAAAATTAATATAATATAAGGAGTGAAATATTTAATTGACATTTATCATTTTGGATTGAAATTAATATAAGAAGTGAAACTAACATTCAATTATATAAAAATAAATAAATAAATAAATCAGCGACTTACTATTCAATCGACCATTTTGTTCTTACAATTTTTATTTTCAACCAATGAATCAATTTTTATTTTTCATCAACAAAACCTTATTAATCTTCATTATTTACATTATTATTCATGCAATGAGTTTTTAATTTTCAGAGCAATTTTTATAATTCATCCATTAAGTTATTATTACAAATATTTTAAATGTTGCATTAATATATTAATGAGGACATTCAATGAAAAAAAAATTACACACAGAAATTCAATGACTAACATTTAATTGATTTTTTTTCTTTTTAATTTTCATCAATAAAGCCCTCATTACCAATTTAATTAATATTTATCATTTGATTTAGAATTAATATAAGTGGTGAAATATTTAATTTATATTTATCATTTGGGTTGAAATTAATATGAGTGAAACTGACATTCAACTATTAAAAAATAAATAAAACTCAATGAAAATTTAGTGACTTATTATTCAATTGAGTATTTTGTTCTTACAATTTTTATTTTCCATCAACAAAGAATTTTTTTTATTTTTTATCAACAAAACCCTTATTAATCTTCATGATTTATATTATAATTCATCCATTGAGTTTTTATTTTTCATTAACAAAGCAACTTTTATTTTTCATCAACAAAGCCCTTATTAATCTTCATGATTTACATCATAATCCATCCATTATGTTGTTATTTAATTGAGGTTACAAAATTGATAGGTTGCATTA